CAATATATTATATTTGAGCCTCAAGGATGAGTTTTGTCACATGGAAAGAGTCAGGTTTATGATATGGACAGATGAGTAGCATCCGCAAGTCAACCGGGCTGCCAGAGGTGGCGACTGGGATGGGGGGCCAGGTCCACACCACCCAGCACTTCAGCACCTTACCCAGAAGTTCTGTGGGCTTCTTTTACCCACTAGCACCACACGCACACCAGCATCTAGAAGGCTGGAATTCAGCTCTCGGTCCCCAGGCCTCCCCCACGGCCCTTGTGCAGGCTTGGTGGTACCCACTGAACATACTCCAGTTTTTCACATCCATTCTCCTGACTTATGGCTCTCTCTCTTTTTTTGGTTAAATTTTTTGTATGCTTATTTAAAGACTTTTTTTTGCTATTGGGTGCATGTACCTGACAGAGAGACAGAAAGCAAGAAATCACTTCCCAAGGGTGATGACAGTGCCTCCATCCGTTCTCCATTCTCCTCTTGGAATCTTAGGCATGCATGCACAAGTGCCTGAGGTGAGTTTTAAGCCACACCAGGTCCAGGATTCAAACCATGGTCAACTACATGGGAGTCCAACAACATAATAATTATGCCATCTGCTGGTCCCACTCCATGCCTCTTTCTAAGAAAGCAACTATTGTTGAAAGTGTCCAACTTGCTCACAGACATACACGTACACACAACACACACACTCATATGCCTGAGACACATGTCCACACACGTACACAAATGCACAACTACACACTATTGAAAGAAGTCCACCACTAGACACTGATTCTTCCCATAAGGTTTTTCTATATTTTTTTTTGAGAAGTTTTTGCTATAGGGTGCATGTGCTCGCCAGACAGACAGAGAGACAGAAAGTGAGAAATCACCCTCCCCCACGGGGGATGGCCACGCCGCAATCCCTTCTCCTCCATTATCCTCTCGGGATCTTGGGCACGCATGCACACGCGCCCGGCGTGAGATTTAAGCCATCGGGTCCAGGACGTGAACCGCAGTCGACTACCTGGGAGTCCAGCGGCATAGCCATTATGCTAACTGCTGGTCCCGGGGAGTTGTGCCTCTAAGCACCTGTTTAGTTTTCATCTTCTGACACTATGCTTCTTGTAATACAGTATCTCACTCTATGAAGGAACTTAAAGATCAGATGTCACTTAGGGTGACTTTTTTATAAGTTGGAATTTTAAATCTACTTGGGAAAATAAAATTTTAAATGAGTTCAATGATAAATTATTATTCAAGAACTAAGGCCCGCGGAGGGTGTGGAGGTTAAGGTAGCTGGATCCCATAAGGCCCACTGCGGAGATCAAGTCCCAGACTCCGTCTTGAAAACCACACCAGACACGTGTGTGTGTGAACCCAGAATCCCAAGACGAGAATGGAAGAGAAGGAATTGCAGTGTGGGAGGCATTTTCTAACTTTCCTTCTCTCTCTCCTTCTTTCCTTCTCTCTATCTCTGGCAAGGACATGTACTCTATAAGAAAAATTATTTAAAAATTGTACAAAAACTAAATGATTCTTTTATAAAGTGAATAACATCATCCCCAACATTTTTCTAATCCTAGATTTTATCTGACGTGTTTGTTTTTAATGTGTGAATATTTATCATGGATACTATGGCCAAAATACAGGTAGTATCTGTCTGGAATTGGTTACCTTTTGTCAAAGATGACTGTCTTTAGGGCATTTGCTAAATCTTCAGAAGTCATTTCAAGGACATTCAGGGTCACTCCAGCTCCTTTGGTCTCCATGCGCTTGGCGTTGTCCATCTGGTCACCGAACAAGGGCAGCATCACCATCGGGACACCATTGCATATTCCTTCATAAATGCCGTGGGAGCCGGAATGCGTGATGAAGGCACGAGTCTTTGGGTGAGCTGAGAAGCAAAGTGAGGGGATGCCTGTGGTCAGGTGGCGGGTGTCACAGACTGACATCATGTAGACTGTGAAATCCCCTAAGGACTCAGGACAGTCTATGTGCGGCCCTTGCAGAAGTTTACAGAAAATGTGAGCTGACATAGCCCCACTAGATCAAAGCAATGCAGACATGTTGGCCGTAATCTTCCCAAGACAAACACACGTTAAGAGCAACCACGCCCAAGCCATTCTCTTCACTTATCCTGCTTTACCCTACATGTCAAGTCCTCCCGACATACCAAGCAGATCATTTTGGGGTAGCCACTTGACAAGTATCGTATTCTTCGCAAGGTTTGATGGGCGGCTTCCAGTATACCGCCACAAGACCTAACAGAAACAATAAGAACATCACCAAAAGAAAGAATATGACTCAAAAAAAAAAAAAAAAGTAAGTCTGCTCTGGTAGCTTGCAAGTAGGACCTGTGAGTGACATGAGCTTCCTCCATGACGGTGGGTGGCCTAGCGACTGAGAAGAGTTCTGGGGCAGCTTAGGCACAAGGGCATGTTCATTACTTGTGAAAATTCACTGAGCTTTGCATTTTTTATTATTCCACCTTCCTGCTCTTCAAAAGAAACTACTTATTGAAATGAATAGATGCGGGACAACAAAAGGAGAAAAAAAGAAAGAAATCCAGTGTTGTAACCAGGAGTTTTAGGCATAATTATTCCCATTTAATATGGAGAATCAATAACTTTTTCTATTTAAATAAACACTTCTAAATGCATGTTGGAGTCTCTTAGAGAAAATGAGACTTCTGAGTGCAGTGGACCATGGTTTCACACATAGCTGAGAGTTAAACCGAATTAAAAAAAAAAAAAGACATTGGATTAATATAGTGGGGGAATTGCAGAGAAAGCCCAGATCTAAAGTTCCAGCTAATAGACTTAATGTAGCTCCTGGGAGTTAGGGCTGGAATGTCTGTGAGGATAGACGTGAATAAATCATCTCATTTTCTTACCGTCTGAGGTATTTTGCCCAAAGCTTCAGCTATTTCCATAGCTTTCTTCTCTGGAATCTCTGAGACCATAGATCCCAAAGAGAAAACCACAATTCCATGTTCTCCAGAGGCATTAATGTAGCCTTCAAATTCCTAGAGCCAGAGAAAATTTTCCAGTTAATTGTTGTTCTCAGATTCTTCAGGGACTACAAATATTAAGCTGGAGTTAAACATCTTTTCCTTCAGACTGTGATGAAAGGGGTATGTTGTGAGAAACAGAGGCAAAATTATTACCTTTTATTCCCAGAAGGAGCGTAAGCTCACCAGAAAGGCAGACAGACTGAACAGGCACCTTCCCAGTGGAGGATTATCATGTGAAAATCCTTTCTCCTCCATTTCTCCATCCTGTCAGGATTTTGGACACGCACATACACACATGCCTGTGTGTTTTCAAACCACTGGAGCTGGAATTTGAACCACTGTCGGGACCCCCTCCCCCGGAGCCACTAGCCTATGGAGCCGTCCCCACACTACAGTTTTGGCCTGTGACAAGGACATCCTGAGGATGGGGTTTCTAAGTCCTTCCCTCCTGGGCTCCTCATCACAGCCTGTTCCTATCCAAGTTCTCTTCAGCTTTTCCCCTGAGCGCTGGTAAACACTTCCACACATTCCCTAGGACCTGGGCTCCTTCAGGTGACCTTTAACCTCATCTGGAAAGGGCCAGATCTGTACACCCCCAGGCCCTCTCAGCCAGCAGGAGATGATGACACAGAATGAAACCCACAGGCCCATGGAGATCCAAAGCTCAATAGCAGGTTGAGCTAGAGTGTAAGTGGGGGACATTCACTGAGAGGTCACGGCAGGGCACGCTGCGGGCATCACTGTCACAGCCAGTGTCCATTCCGGACCTGCTCTTATGGGTTCAGTAAGGCCAAGTCCTTCCCTTCCTAGCAAAACTTCCCCTGAACCTCACCCCAGTATCACAGTCCCTGGGCTGGCCAGAGAACAAAGCAGCATGTTAACTGAAAATACCCCTTGATCCCCAACTGCTGGTGCCTTTCAGAGAAGAAGAGCTGCCCTGAGTGGATGGATGCCCTGGCTCTGCTGAACACCCACCCAGATGACACCTCTGAAATAGCGCCTACACTGCACTGAGTTTAGTCATGTCAGTTCCAGGATTTCAAATTGGATTTCTTTTCCTCCAAATGCCTTTTTCCCCCAGGACTATATTTAGCACATAGATAACGTGTTGGCAAGGTCCCTTCCCCAGATCCGTTCCAGGTCCCCCACACAGATCCCAATCTCGGACCCAACCTGCATGGCTCTAATCTCAGAATTGCTACTACCACAATGACAGTCTCTCCTCCTTGGAAGGATATCTAGGAATTCCAGAGTTTCATTCTCTCAATGTTGTCCTATGAGCGATCTTCAAAAAGCTCATGAAAAATGCATATTGTGAAAAACTAGGGCCATCCCACAGCATGGTGGTTAAGGTGGCTGGATCCCACATGGCCAGCTGTGCCATTCAAGTCCCGGACCCGGCAGCTTGAGAAGCACATGGGGCACATGTGCACGTGTGCCCAAATCCCAAAGGAGGGAGGAATGGAGAAGGGATCGCAGTGCGACTGTCCCCCTGGAGGAGGATTTTCTGGTTCTCTCTTCCTCTCCCCTCAGTCAGGCCACACACCCTCCAGTACATGTTTCAAAAGGAGAAAAAATTATGCATGCAGAATAAACTTGTACTTTAATTTTTCTACAGACATCTTAAAGTACCCCCACACTTTTTTGCTTTCAGATATTTCCAATATTCAATGCCAGGTCATGCTTTCTCTGTCGCCTTCTTTTTAAACTGCCAGAGGGCACATGCATTCACCAGAGAGACAGAGAATGGAGGGAGAAAGCACCCCTAAGGGGCATGGTCACACCTTGATCCCTTCTCCATTTTTCCATCCTATCAGGATTTGGGGCATACGCATACTCAGCATGTCCTTCAAACCACTGGGACTGGGAACTGAACAACTGTCAGTCACGTAGGATCTGATTCTCTAAACTGTTGAGCTACAGGGCCAGCCCACTATAGCCCTCTTTTCTTTTTTTTTTTTTTTTTTTAGAGGTTTTTGCTATAGGGTGCATGGCCAGACAGACAGAGAGAGACACAGAGACAGAAAGCGAGAAATCACTCCCCAAGGGGGATGGTCACACCGCAATCCCTTCTTCTCCATTCTCCTCTTGGGATCTTGGGCACGCACACACATGCACCCAGCGTGAGTTTTAAGCCACCAGGTCCGGGATATGAACCATGGTTGACTACGTGGGAGTCCAGCAACATAGCCATTACGCTAACTGCTGGTTCCCCACTGTAGACCTCTTATAAGCAATAAACATTTTCTCTCTTCTTCAGGTTCAGGACATATGCCAGTGGGTTAAGAATAACTGAATCACCACTAGCAGAATAGAGGCGCAGAGTGGCATTCCTCCGATTAACAAAGGGGAAAAGAGAACATAACCAGTAAGTTGACCACTCTCTTAGTTTTTGAACTCTTACTTCTGTTTTTATTTAATTTTCCTGATATAGCACTCCCTTGAGAACTTCTTGGAGATCTGGTCTGGTGCTGGTAAATTCTTTCAGGTTTTGTTTATCTGAGAATGTTCTTGTCTTTTCTTCCCATATGAA